GTTTATTACCTTATGATGGAATTTTAGAACAGACTAATAGACTCAAAGGTTTTTGTCAAATATTTTAAAATTGTTTTTTCAGAAAGGCTGAACCAGTTTATGTTCTTATTGACAATACATGCACATGGTACTTTTTATTACCTCCACAGGCTATTACTTTAAAAAATATTTTACAGTTTGTTAGGTAAAGATAGGACATAGTTTGTAAGTACATTTATATGACAACTAGTAAGGCTGATTATATTTTATGTACTGGATGTTTTCATTATTATTTGTAATTTTATCTGTGGCCTCTAGTAATTTGTCTTGGATATCAGTGCTTTCTTATTACTCTATAAGAGTTCTTTTTACACCTAGCATACTGTCCTGCTGTTAGTCATTCCAAGGAGTTCTGGTGGCACTGTGGTTAAAGCATTGGGCTCCTAACCAAAAGGTTGGTAGTTGGAATCCACTAGCCACTTCATGGAGGAAAGATGAGACAATCAGCTTCTATAAAGATTTACAACCTTGGAAGCCCCAGAGGTGCAGTTCTGCTGTGTTCTGTAGGGTTGCTATGAGATGGATACAACTTGATGGCAGTGGGTAGCAGTGAGGGTCAGTCATTGTAGACATTTTTTCAATTCATAACGTGCCTTTTGTCTTTTAATTTTGTTTATAGTACAAATTTTATTTTAGATGTTAATTTTCTGCTTATCTTTTCCTGTTTGATTTTTTCTGTGCTTTTGTACTTTGGAAGTCCTTCATACTCTGTCATCAGTCACTTTCCCTACCCCTACAGTAAAATTCTTAATAATTTTAGATGTTTAATAGTTATTAGTACAAAATTGCTGTTTGTTTGCTTCACTTGGAATTTATTTTTGTAATAGTATAAATATAAGTTAAGTTATAGTATGAAGACTTAACGTGAATCTTAAACATTAAATCCCAAATATTAGGCAGGTTTTGTATTGACTAATGGAATATGGAATAATTTATTAAGCCCTAATTTGTTTATGATACTAAGTTAATAAAATTTGAGTCTCCTTCAAATCTTGCTTTTTTTGATTTAACTGTCTAATTCTTATTAGACAGTTCTAATTACATATCATAATCATTGTTGCTTTAGTAATTTCTTCATTTATCATGGCTGTCAGTATCTTCTTAGCTACTGATTAAACCAAATCCACTGCCATTGAGTCAATTCCAACTCATAGCAACCCCCATTGGGTTTCCAAGGTGGTAAATCTTTGTGGAAGTGCCCATCTTCCTTCTGTAGAGTGGCTGGTGGGTATGAACCTCCAGATTCTGGTTAGCAATCATATACCTTTTCTTAAGTTTTAATGTGGGGGCCAGAAATTGCAACATGATTATAATGATCATGTTTTAAAAATAAAACTACCAGAGCTCTTTAGCTACTGAAATTTGTTTTTACATGACCATTATAATCACCTGGCAATTTGTACCCTCCCCCCTAATTAAAACTAAAAAAAAAAAAAAAAAAAAAATTACAGCTATTTGGTTGGGCTTTTATTATCAACCTTATATGTTAAGTATAAGAATGTTTTTCCCTAGAAAATTTAGAAAATGCAGATGAGCAAAGCATGTTAATTGTGGCAGAATTTCCATTTTTCCAGTAGGTATTCTTGTTATCTAATAACAGAAATCTCTCCTTTTCTTGACAGAATTTTCATATTTCTCAGTAAAATTTAGTTTTCTCCGTAGAACTCCTTATTATTATTTTTTAAAAAAAATGTTATCAATCATTTTTTTCCATATTACTATGTTAATAATATTTTCAACTAATGTTTCTGAGTTCTTTTTATTCTTTGAGTCAGTTGATTGTTTAGGATTTCCTAGACATATAATATGTAAATAACAGTCTTTTTCCCCTGTTTTCTATAATCACACTTATATCAGTTTGAGATTCATTGAAGTAGTTATCAATTTCTTTTTGAAGGAATAGAACTTTTTTTTTCAAATTAGCTTTGATACAGAACTCCTTCATATTAAAAGTGCAGCTGCTATTCAAGTGAAGACAGGGCTCTAAAATGCCACCCTCTCAGATTTACTACTACTGAGACACCTGGGGAAATCAGTTAAATCATAAAAGAGTCTCTAATCATGAATTTAGTGAGCATCTTTAATCCTACTCTTAATTTTGTGTGGCAATTAAGTATGATTTTGACTAATAGAATATTGTGCAAGGTGATTCATGCTAATATTTTCTAAGACTACTTTTTAAAAATCACAAATGGAATAGCATTTTATTAAATTCCGTAAAAGAAATATTGAGGTGGTTATAATTTTATTTTATTAGTTTGTTTCATATCATCAGTACATTCAAAGATTCTCATTGTCATCTGAATTTCATGTTAATGCTATTTGTTTTCTATATTCACGTATGTGTTTTAATGGTATTTTAATGATGATAGTGAAGCAAAGAACTCATATTAGTTTTATTATGATACATATTAGTATCTTTTAGGCATTTAATTGCAAATTTATAAATGCACGAATTTAAGATTTTGCATAACACATTTTAGCTTTCTGTCGTGTAATATTTTTAAAAGATGCTGTTAACCTGTTTTCATTTCTTGTGTAGTATACTGTGTAAAGTGAGATTCAAATGTAGAGTCTTTCAGATTCAGTTGGAAATTGAAAAATTTAGATTAGTGAATAGATTAAGGCAGTTGGATGCTTTAGCTCCAGTTGTGCTTTTGATCAGCTGTTTCCTGTGGTAAAGGAAGAGTAAACAATTCTTTGTAGGTGGAAAATGTTTTTCTTTCTCCTGTGGAAAATTGTGTCGTAAGCAGTAATGTTTATAATTATATCGTGCTTGAAGGAAGATAGATAGGAATTGTATATTGACAAGTTACTCCCTGAAATTCAGAATGTCCCTTTGTAGTGTTTGATAGACATTAATCCCAGAAGACTGGTAATATACAAATGATACATGATAATTCTGGGAGATACTTTGGAGATGTATATATAGTAGGAGTTTTTTTCTTTTAATGATTTCTTTTTTTGTTTTGGCTTTTTGAATCTGTGCTAATGTAATGATGAACTTTTCTAGTTAAAGAGTAAAAACTTGGGGCGAGGGGGAAGACCTGAATCAGCTATATGAATGGGTTTTACCAGCTTACCACCAAGCAGTAGGTGGGTGGGTAATTGTAGTGCTACTTTTTGTCTCCAGAAAATTATTAAATGTGCATCAAAAGAACACTTTTAATAATATTTACGTGCCACTTGCATGTAGTTTACTGGTGTGCCTGAATGCCACTGGAGCAAGAGATAAGAAATAGTGCACATACTTTTCATATGTTCTGGCCATCAGACATCAGTTATGGAGGAGAAGAGACGATAGCTGAGTGATCAGATTTCCTCTTCTTCCCTTCTCATTATTTGCACTTAACATTAGGTACCTCTTCCAGGGTATGAAAATGGCTATGAAGCATGGAGGCTCTGGCAAAGAATGAAAATCAAGCAGAGAATGGAAGAAAGAGATAGGCCATTTTACTTAGCTTTTTAGACCTTTTAGCAGGTGTTGTGTAAAATATGTAGCAGAATAGCATAATGGTTAAGGGCATGATCTTTGAAATGGAGCCCTGTAGGTATTTATCCTCTTGCATGAGTGTTTCTTTCCTATCTTAGTGTTGTTTATAAGAATTATAGGAGATAATATATGTAAAGTGTTTTAACACAGTGCCAGGTACACATTATTTGCTCAGCTAGCACATACTTTCTCTTTCTGTTATTGGTTTTCTTTTTGTAAAGTTTATTGGAAATAGCTATAAAGTTCCAGTTGAGATCATATGTGATTATTCTGTAGATGAAGGATGAGGAAAAATCTGAAGTATTTGATTGAATTAGAATTTTGTCACTGCTAATCTTGATCAAGATAAATTAGTGTAAGTGTTAGATGTTTTGGTATTTTTAGTCTATTCACAATTTGTTTGAATGTAATGATTATATAGTAGTTCTTCCATATTTATTTTCTTTGTTTAAATGCAGTGCTGCCATTTAAAATGGTATTTTAATGTATAATACAAATTGCATAGTACTAGACGTAAAGAAGGCACACTTAACACTTGCTGAGGTGTTTAAATATCAGCTTACTTTGTTCAAGAAATCAGCTAACATATTGTTGATAGTAGAAGATAAAAATAAAGTAATAATATAATATTTTAAAATGAGAATTTTCAGCAATACTAAGAAGCTTTACTGTTTGATTCATTGCCCTTCAAGAACTCAGTGCCATCAAATTATCATTGTTTTCAAGATAGTGTTGTCAAGAATATAGGATTGATGTTAATTGATGCCTGAGATAGGAGGAATTTAGGTATTTAGGTGAAGAATTGTTTCTACATAACTCAGTTTTTTAAATCTGATTTTTTTTCATAAGAGAAAATTCTATTTTTTAAAGATAATGCAATATAATCATAATTTGGTCAAATGAGCACATATGCACACTCCTCTTCCCCCCTTTAAACTTCTAAAGTGTAAGTCAGAATTACTCTATACTGTGGGAAAGATTCTCTTTATCTTTCATCAGAATTTAATATCTACTTTGGTATTATCCTCTGATGTGACTTCTATATAGTAATTTTAATCAGTGCTAGTCATATAGAATAAATGATATGAAAAACAGACTTGAAATAAGAGCTGCTGGGGAGTGTTGTATAGATCAGGTTTCAAAATTACTAAATGTAGACTAGAACATCTAGACTGCTGATTTGAAAATGGGAGATATATTGAGCATAAATAGAATTCAGTACATCAAGTATTAAGTACTTAAACAGTTTCTGTGATCATCACCTTTAACAAATACTGCAGTTCTTTTCTGGTGATATACCTCTGTAGAGCAGAGTCAAGAGTAAGACTATTGTTATTAATGTTAAATAACATCCTGACTAAATTATAGACATATATGAAATGAGAACACTATTTTAAAGTAGTGAGTTAGTATTTCTTTATGAAGCCAAACAAAATTACTGTGAAAATATTTGTACCATAACACTCAGTAAAGATTTTCTTGTTTACCTTTTTTTTTGTTTTATTAAAAAATTTGATAAAAGTGCATCATATACATTGTTCAACCTAGAATCAAGTGTTCATCAAACATTTGTAGTTTTTTCCCCATTCCCCCCAAAAAAGAGTTTTTATTGGTGATGCAGAATATTTGTCATCTACCAAATTAAAAATTCCAGATTTGTAAACTTGGCACTCTAACAAAGAAATAGGTGCCGGAAAATGATTAAGTGTTGGCATGTGTACACCTGCTGTCAGGAAATAAACTTCCCATATGTTGGAGTTTGGCAGACATTGCATCTTAAAAATGCATTCAATGAAATTGCTGCTGCACTCTTTATCTTTTTTTCAACAGTACCTCCTCATTTTGCCACATTTTGCTTCAGTTAGAGGAACATGATATATTTTTATAGTCAGGTATACTTGAAGTTAATTGTTGGCACTCTTTAAGAGGTGCACTAACTGGTCTAATAACTCATTGAGATACTAATTTGGCCCTTCACACCATTGAGGAAGCAAAATTTGTCTATTTTGAAACATTTAATAACTTTTTTTATAAAACTTGAGCCTGAGACACATTGATTTTCACATTTATCACGTCATGTCAAAGTAAGTTCCCCCCAATATATGCATTAATAAAAGGAATTAAAATGAGTATCTTAGTTGTTTTTAAAGAGTAAATACTTAAATGAGAACTGCACAGGTGGAACATTTTAACTTTATAAGTAAATGCATTTGTGGCATAACTCAAGTAAGTCTAATTGCATGGAATATAGTTTTTAGAACTCAAAATAGCCAGGTAAAAAATTTGTCCTGTGTACAATTAAAACTTTTTCTTAAAATTGATAGCAGTTTTATTTACATTTAATTGTATACTGAAATAAAAAATTAAATCTAAAATGAAGGGTCTTTTGAAGGTTTCCCTTTTTTAAATTAAAATTTATATGGAAAATAAACGCAAATATGTTTTGTTGGCTTCTGTAATAAAACATGAACCATTGATGTATGCATGCTTGTTATTGCATGGTAATACACAGAATCCCCCTAGACATTTTTTAATATATTCTTTTTGGATACCTTTTTGTTATATAATGTAGTCTTCAGAATTACCCTCTTCAGAAATTAAAAAAATATTTTTTGAGTTCTTTCATGTGATGGGCTTCAACTAAAACTTGTTCTGTCAATGTCATCAGTTTTAACTACACATGCTTTTAGCAATATTTACAGATTGCATGTTTGAAAAAATTGTCGTCTTTTCTAGTGTAGTTTACGGTGCCGATACCTGCTTGCTTTTTCTTTTGCTGCATTGGCACAGGCATTGTGCTTATTTTGTTGTAAATGGTTCCAGTATTTTATCAGTTCACTAGGCTGGAACTGATGAGAGGTAATTAGGTGGCTGTATTTACAGCTTGAATAAGAAACTCGCCAGTGATTGAACACAAACTCATTGGGTGGGGGGACAGGATCAATTCTTAACTTGGCAAGACAGATCCCCACATACACATCTTCCAAATGCAAACGACGAATGCTTAAAGAAACTTTAAATATCTTTTCTGCCAGATCTCCAGAAAAGACATAACCAGTTCCAGAACAGAAGACAGGGTAGCGCTCACTTGGATAGAGGTCTGGTGGCATGTACCACTTGCTATCTTTGTTTCGATTGGGTGCGTATCCTCTCATTAGATAACCGGTAAAATAGTTATGTCTGGGAGGCAGGTCTGGCTTCAGTAATTTATGTATTAAATATTCGGTGTTGACAAACATGTCACTGTCAGTTTTCATAACATATGGAATATGTGGACAGTATGTTGAAACCCAGTTCATGCCCATTAGTGTCTTAATGGTCAAATTATAGTATGTATCTAAATATTCCTGTTGAATTATATCATGATATTGTCTGCTTTCTTCCATTATTGCACGTTGAAGGTAGCCATTTAGTTTAATACTTATTCCCAACAAAAAAATTCGTGTGATTTGGATACCAGGTGCTAGACTTTCATTGCCCCAAGTTTGCCGAATAGCTTTTCTAGCTTCTATTTGTCCAGGTTCAGCAGCTATTAGTAGTATTAGAAAAGGGCTTTTCTCTTGGCATTTTTCAGGCTCATTGATAATGTATTTGAAATGGTAAGAATTTGGATGTCCAGTACCTTTTTCATTATAAATACTTCCATTGGCACTAAGTGTGTTCTCTAGCCCTGTAACTCCTTGTGGTGATAGGTCTGTGTTATTGGAGTTAGTGGCTGTTTGAGGCCTTAGAGTCTGAGGGACCGTTTCTTTCCACATGTTTCGAAGGGAGCTGTGGTTTGTCTCACTTTTTGTAGAGCGAAATCCTCGGAAAGTATATGTCACAGGGTTTTCTTTGAATCCACCTTTTCCTGGCAGCCAGTCATGATGATTGAAAAACAAAAACATAGCAAAAAGAAACACTAGAGAAAGTACACCAATAAGATGAGTACGGAACAGAGACCTTTTGGCATTCCAGGTCATCTTTGCAAAGCAGCAGTGTCGTCTTCTCCACTGAAGCATGATGTAAATATCCAGTAATGGGATATGAGATAATGATGGTTGAAAATGTTGTTTTCTTCTCCTGAATCAATACTGTTCTTTGGTAATCATTTTCTAATTCGGTCACGTGTCCCTTGTAGTCATTCTACAAACATGAAACATAAAAGTTTATAAAATGCTAAATATTAGACAGCTGCCTGAAAGGGATTTGAAAAGCTAATAAATTTTTTTAAGCTGTGGAAATAAGATAACTTAGAAACGCCAGCTTATAATTTCTTTCCTCTTGTTAAATAACATTAATATCACTAGGAGCAGAATTAATTTCTTTTAAAATATAGCTTTGTGGCAGGATGAACACTTTAAAGAGAGGTGATGAGTTAATTTTCTTTCATTTATTTCATTGCCTTAGTAGCTCTGGCCATTTGTACTTTGACCCAAGTGAGAAATTTATTAAAAGCATGCATATATAAGAAAAATGTTGCTAGATTCCTGAGAGAAGCCATGTAAAAAGGCCTTGAGAACAGATGGAAAATTTATTGGCATTAATTAAAATTGATTTGACATACTATAGGTGGTGTGGTACACAGTCAGCGGCCTTTTTTGTAAAATGGTCATGTATCAGTTGTGGGACAGACGGTGCAAGGTTGATTATGGCAGCGTTCTGTTAGTCACAGTACACTGCTTGGCATGTTTCCATTGGCCCCTGCTGTGTTGAGAAAGTCAATGAGAAGATGCACCTGTCAAAATTAATTTTCAGGGTCCAGTAACTTCAGTGCAGGATTTTTAGACAGGAATAAATGTTGAACATTTTCAAGTACTCTTTTCTAAATTTTAGCTTTCTACTTCACATTTATTCAGATTATTGTCCTTACTTAGACTTAAGATTGATTTTAAAGTATAGTAAGTAATTATCTTTAATTGCACTATAACATACCTCAGCTGAGTGTGTTAGAATTAAACAGAGAATGACTTTGAACAGTACTTTCAGTTTTTCTACAGAATAAAAGCAGTAGCTACTATCATATCCAACTCTTAAAATTTCAAAAATATTTTCTTTTAAAGATTCTGAGTTATGCTGTGTTCTAAGTATATGAGCAGAGAATTGGTTAAATTGGTAAGACTTCTTCTGATTGCACATCACTTAGTGTGCTGTAGATTTTTAAAAAGATGATGTGATACCAGTATGGGAGATTCACGATGCCATATATTAAGAACTAGTATGTTGTCCTTGACAATTGTTTTTCAGTGCATACTACAAAGATTTTATAGTTCTCAGTTTTTTCTTAGTTTTTCTGGACCAACATATATGTGGGGGTAGGAGATGGGTGAGAACTTCCCCCCCCCCAAAAAAAAAATTTGGGGGGAAGGAGACTAATAAAGTGTAAATTGTATTTTTTCAATTTACTACTGTGAACATTCTTTAAGGAAAAGAAAGCTGTGTAGCCAGTATTTTAAAATTTTAATATATGAAGATTCATTTATTTGAATTTATAATATATACCTACCTATATGTTTTTTTAGGCTTTGATATTAAAAGATTCAAAGTTAATAACAAATTTGAATAAGGAAATTTAATTAGTTTTAGGAAATAATAGTGCCTACATGGAAATCTTCATATAATTGGATAATTATAGCAGAAAATCACATATGTAATGTTAAGTACTCTGAAAATACTGATTGAAAGAAAATGTTAGGCATATATGAATGGAATTACTGCTATTCTGGTAACAGCCATTAGGAGGAGCAAGTAGGTAGGAATTTGAACAGATTTCTAAAGTGTAAGTATAGTACAGGCACTAGCATTTGGTAATTTCTGGTTTCTGAAATTACATGCTTAGTAATTTCAAATGTAAATGTTTAATAATTTTGAGAAATATAAACTGATTTTTTTTTTAAGTTTGAGATTTTGAAAACAACCTAGTTTGTTATTTATTAGTGTTTATTTACATAAATTAATTTTCACAGTTCTGTAATGAATACCAAAGCTATTGATTGTACCAGTAATACATAGTTCTGCTGTGAACTAAGTTGAAAATAATAGAGCTGAGTGTTTTAGTTTAGAAGTTCACTTATTTCTTTCTCCTACTTGTAAATAATTGGCCATTCCGTTCAGACTAGGAAACTTTCTAAGTTTTTATTTTCAAATGGGGTATTTGGTAAATAATACTGATTATTCTACCTCTGAACCCCCAATAAAGAGGCTGGTAAAAGTAAGGGTCATGTATGTAAATTTAAAGGAATGTTGCTTCTTAAATTTATTCGATAATATGTTAAACATTCTAAAGCTAAATTAAATTTATCAGCTTTCTGTTGATATAATAAGGCTTGGAATCTGACAGAAGTCCAATTATTTAGATCTTTTAAGTGTGTAAATTTGATAGTTAAGAGAGAATGAATATAAAGTCACATATTTGAATGAATGTTTAAGTAGAGGAATGGATGAATGAAGGTAACATAGTAGTAATAAGTTTCAGTATTTTTTAATGAAAACAATATACCTGAAGTGAGAAAGCTAGAAAGTAATTCAGTGTTAATGGAAACCAACAAATTATAATGTAATCTATCATAATTACATAGTTTTTGTTCCTAACAGTAATTTTGTAACAGTATGTGTTAGTGATATCAATATATATCTTAATTTAAGTTTCATGATATTTTTAGTTTGTAGATACTAAGCTGCCAAGGATTGAAATCCATAAATACTTTTTCATTAATCTACCGTTAATAAAAGAAACGCATATGTCTGGCCTTTTAAAATTCCATGTTAAAAGTGTCTCAGGTATTTATCGTTTGTTACAAAGCAAGTAAAACTGAAGTAGCTGTTTCTCTTTTTATTAGATGATAAACTTATTCTCAGTCTTGTATTTTGACTCTTGAAAAATGGGCACAAGATAAAGTATTTTTGGCATGTAAAATAGTTTTGCATTTTTATATTTATAGGATAATAATACCTTTGATTTATATATTAAAGTTCTTTTTTGATGTAATAATTTCAAGTTATTCATGTATATGTATTTAGATCTATGGTTTAAAGTTCATGGGAGGAATGTTCCTTTAAAATGCTATTCAGTTGTTTAATACACGTAGACAGTTATTTTTTATCATTGGCTTTTAAAAGTCTTGGTCTCTTTAGTCTGTGGAAACAATTTTAGATGTAAGTGGTGCTTTAATAAAAAATACTTTTCAGATGACTAGCTTGTAAAAATATTTAATTGGTGACTTTAACGTGGAAAGATAAAGGCACTGAGAGACACTTGAGATTTTTACAGCCATATTTTTTTTTGTTGTTGACTACTCTGATTTCAGCCTTTCATAGAATAAAAATCAGTGGTTATGAGTGAGAGTTGAAAATACATGATAGTAATAAGTCCTGGTAAATTTATTTAATTTTAGCTCTTAATGTAAAAAGAGAATGGTGACATACTTCTGACAAATGTTTGTTTTTTGCTTTGATAAAAGTAATGGGATATTGAATTACTGTGTGAACTGAGGAAAAATCTGAGTCTTTGATAGATTTGTAAATATTTAAAAAATATTTGAGTTCTTTAGTCCTGAGTTGCTATTCTAACTATGATTGTTGCTAAAATAATTTATTAAATTGATCTCTGTCCTGCACACACATACAGTGGCAGTAGTTTGTTACTACATACTAATATTGCTTGGAAGCACATTAGCTACATTTTTGTTAAGTTTTTTTGACCTGGTATTGCTGTTTATAGATATTTTTATAGGAAAGTATTTTCATATTATTTTGAATTTGAATTTAAAAATGATCACTAGGGACTACCTTAGATTAGTCTGTGTAGTAGAATCAGTCTGTTACCTAAAATAAAAGCACACTACTTGAAATAGGAGAATTTTTGACAACTATTGATCTCTCTCTCTCTCGCTCGCTCTCTCTCTTATTTATTTATTTATTTTACTTTTTTTGTCGTTTGAGAGAGGAACTTTACAGAGAACATTAGTTTGCCATTCCACAGTGTATACACATTATACACATTTTGTTTCATGACATTGGTTGCAATCCCACAGTGTAACATCACTCTTCCACTTCCTCCCTGGGTTCCCCATTTCCATTCATCTTTCTTTCCTGCTCCTTCCTGCCTTCTGAGCTTTGGTTTGGGGCAAATGCTACCCTTTTGGTTATTGATATCTCTTTGTTTAAAGTTGTATTCACAGGCACTATACTAACATGCAAATCTGCCATGATGTTATGCTGTGCATAAACTCACACTACCTTATGCGATCTTATGCTAATGATTTCCTTTCAGTGTTCCTGTGGCTGGGTAAGATTTAAAATTTGTTGTTACTCTCTTTATTTATTATACCCTTTATTTGGATGGATAGATGTTGGAAGAAAGATTTTGCCACTAAACAAAGCTGTTATATATTAATATTTTGTTTAAAAAGCACTTTGAAAAACTCTTAATATTAAGATAATCTTTGCTACTATTTAGTGTAATTTCACTGCATTGTCTCTTTTGATAGCCATTTTTAAGAGAACACTTTAATTCACTAGGTAAGGATTCAGTTTGACCTAATTTGATAGAGGGTTGTGATGTTTCCTTTAAAGTGCTACAGATTTTTTTTTTAAAGTTTAATTTCTTAGAGAATCCTTTAAGCCCATCTTGTTACTGCTTGCCCCCCCCACATTTGTAATCCAGAATGACTCCAAGCTACACATTTAACTGAATAAAAGCAGTGACATCTTGTCTTATGAACACTGATAAAATTTAAAATCGTGTATTTAGAAACCCTTTTATAGTTTAAAGTGCAGTGAAGTATATAAACTTGTTTATCAGATATTAGTACCTCCAGGGCTATAAAAAGGTAACAGACATTTAAGTAATATCACACACAAGGTTTCAACATACCTTCCTTGGTCAGACCATTTATGGCGAGAGGATTATGTCCACTGAAAATACTTTTGGCACGCCATCACTTCAGCAAAAAATGCTATCGAACATGAGCACATCCCCCAACAGTCTGCCTCCTGCGATTGCTTTTCACAGTATCCAAAGTGTCCATCTGTCTGCTTGTCTTCGAGTTACCCTCCTTGTTCATATGGGTCCTAATCTTGTGAGATTTTTCCTTTCTTTCATTTTCTCTCTCTCTTTAAACAAAAGAGCTGTAGTTGTCCATTTTATTTGGAACACTGTTGACTCTTCCTGACAGTTGATGCATTGAAGCTTTTTACATCTGCTGTTTTCCTGGCTGGACAATGCAGTGCTGTATTCTCTTCTCAGTATCCATATTTCTCTAGTAATAACACGGAGCTGCAATGTAAAGCAGCCAGAGCTAGAATGTAGTGCTTCGATTGTATTGGAAAAGAACAGGATTTACCCCTTGTCTTTCGTAGTTGCCTGGCAGCTGCAGGAAGGATTTTGAACAGTTTTTACTGGGGTTTTAGTCTATAATTTGAAATCCACGGTTCCTCAGCTGCTGCACAGGCAGACAGCAGTTTAAATGTGGGCTTGACAGATGCTCTCTTCTGACAGAGCAGAATTTAACGTCACTGCTTGGCTGAATCCCACGTGATTGTTTGCATTCATTTTGACTAAAAACCTAAGGTAGGGAGAAGCTTAGAGATTTTGCTTCTGTGTGGTAAATTATATATATTCAGGACAAGTGTAGTGGTGAGTGAATAATATAAAAATGGAATGATTATGAAATGAATGGTTATGATTTTATTTTTTCTCACTTCCTTTTACTCCTACTTCATGCATAAGCACAGACTTTCTAAATATTTTCACTATTAGATGTTGGTTTTCATGATTTTGTTAGGGCATAAGTAATAGAAGCTTATATACAACTTGGAGTAATTTAACCCTTTCAGTACTCTCTTCCCATTGAAGCTTCGCCCCCCTGCCTTTTGTCAAATTGCATCTCTTATACAATAATGTAGCTTAGACTCAGACCATTTATTCTTATCTGTAACTTAGATTCCCCGCCCCCCTGGGGTTTGTATCAGTCAGCTGCTGTGTATTGCTTTTTTGCTTTGTGGTTTTTAGTGCTCTTGAAGGCAGCAAAACTTTATTCTTAATCACCTCTTAATGTCAATATTTTTAAAAATGTACTTTAAAATACATGTATGATAGAATTCAACAAAATGATATAGTTGTACAGGATCTTCTTGGTGTGGGTAATGAGGTTTTACTAGTTACATTTACTTATCCTAATATTTTAGGATGGTTTGGTAACTTGCCAGCATGCATATTTTGCAGTTACTACTAGATTCTTACTCTAGATTTTCTGTGTGGATACTCTCCTGGGTACCTGGGTACCTTCCTCTTTTTTATCTGCAGAATATGGGACTGTGTGGTTGTTGTTGTTAATAGCTTTATCAGTTTTTCTTCTGAGAAACTAAGGAGAGTAGTAATTAAGTTCTAGAAATCTTTAGTTTTGAAACTTAGCTGTTACATATTTGTAGTCATACAGAATTTTCATCTTGCCTAGCTTCCTCAGTAATTCTTTAAAATGAATATAGGTTTAATATTTGAATTTTTGTTCTGATCATAATTTTGAATTTTGAATAGCTAATGAAACGTGCAATAATTGTAGGAATCCTGTGACTGTGTAGTTTAGAAGTGTGTGCAACTTTCCTAGAAATGCTACAAGGAACAGCAAGAATTTTGTAAGTGGGAAACTTAAGACTGAGGGCTTTGATTTTTCTAAGTGTGAAGGATAAGACTAACACACAGATTTCTTAGCATTTAGTTTTATATCTACATTGCTGACCACTTTTTTTTTTTTTTTAAGGTAGTAGGGTAATGCTTAAGTGACTCATTCTCCAAAAGTAGAACTGGATTTTAATACATCAGTATTTATTTAGTGATTGCCTATGTAAAATTTGACTCCAGCTCACAGCAGTAACCAAAATCAGACTGCTAAATCTGCCTGGCCTATGTTACAAAAGACTCCCCCCCCCCTTTTTTTAATAACAATTTTATTATTGTAATATGCATTTTAAAGATGAAGAACTAGTGTTTTGAATTGTTAAATAGCTCAAATATCAGCTAATTAGTGATGAGCAAGAAGCCAAGCTGGAAATTGAAGGAAGATGATCTGGATTCCTAGGCTCTGTTCTTAACTATTATGCTACATGACACTGCTGTAGAAATTAAAGGAGTTTTTTTTTCTAATACTGGCACAGCATTTCGAGGAATCATTAGCAGACTTAAGAATGAGTGCTTATATTTTCATTTTACTCACATCAATAAATATATATTGAGCAAATACTACATACTAACATTTGCATTTAGGTACAAGATGAATTAGATGCATTCCCTGGATATATTAATGGATCTTGACTATTAAGGGAGCTTCACTGGCAGCCTGCTCATTAAGTTGTTCCCTCTAATACTGGGCTGAGCCAGTGGGTTTCCATTGGGCTGTTTTCTCAACCAGGCTTGCTATTGTTGTTGTTGTTGTTATGTGCGGTCGAGTCAAACCCGACTCATAGCGACCCCTCCTTGGGTTTCCGAGGCAGCATCACTACGGAAGTAGGATTGCCCAGCCTTCCTTCCAAGGAGTGGCTGGTGGGTTTGAACCGCCAGCCGTCTGGTTAGCAGGCAAGTGTCTTAGCCACTATGCTACCAGAGCTTCAGGCTTGCTATGGGCATGGATTTATATAGTAAAAAAGACTTTTAAAAACTATTAACAAAAGATGCTTTTGTACTTAATCAGAAGTTACTTTAAACCTTTAGATATACCTACACCATGTTTCTTAAGTTAGGCTGGTTAAGAACTTCAAATAAAGTACAGAAAAATGAGCATACATGAGACAAAATTCCTTTAGTGACTTTTCCTAGCAACCTTCATGTTTCCAGCCAAGAGAAACTTTGAACATCTTATGACAAGCAAGTTTATAGTTCTCCCATTAGTCTAGTTTCTTTTAACATCTGAATTCTATGATTAAACTAACTCAGTAAATGTGACTGGTTTCAGACTCAACAAACTGGCACCTGTTTTGTTATGTTTTATAGTTATAGAGGTCCTGTAATTTTTACTTGCATATGTCTATTTTTAAATCTTATACATGTCTGTGATGAAAAAATAGATAGGAATCATTATGTGCTCTATGACGAGAACTGTCCAAGTTGCTCTCAGGGTTTCCCTGGTCATGTCTAGAATATTCCTCAAGGATTCAGAATTTAAAGACAGGATTGTGTAATGCCTCCTAATTTATGGTGTTTGGAATGATTATTACATGATGAATCAGATAGAGATCTGCTGCTCAAGGAGCTCACTATTGAATGATAGTAGTAAGACATTTTATGGAGTTACATCATCTATTTTATGTACCTGTCTCAGTTCAACTATATGTCCTTAGCAAAAAGAATTAAAGAAAAGGATGGGGAGAGAACACTTCAACCAGAGGTGAGTGATTTTCATTCAGTGAGAAAGAGCAAATGTCCTTGGGTAATATGAGAAGATCAGTCTTCTTTTTCCAACATTGATCTTCATTCTTGTTTGTGCTTAGTATGAGTAGTTGGGTCCTAAATGGAAAAAAAAAAGTTGCTATAGAAGGAATTCCAAATCATGGAAATCCCGTGTGTTTCAGAATAGAGCTGTGCTCCATAGGATTTCCAGTGGCTGTGATCTTTGTAAGTATGGCCCCTAAATACAGGCCATTTATTTCAGTTGGTGCTCACCTAAAGGACTAGCTATCTCATCTAATACTAGAGAAAAATCTTAATGTTTTTGATCAGATGTAATTTCCACAGTACTGTGAAAAGTGCCATTTGACACACTAATTTACAGAAAAAATTTAATTTTTTTGAGGTCAGTCAACTATTTTGCATAGTAATGTTTGCTTGGAGTTTATCTTTCTTGACCATTTTGATATAAAATCAGAATCTTTTTCATTACATAAATGATATGGACAAATGCAGTGTTACTGGATATTTCCTATTAAAAATTAGTAGGAAAATTGTTCATTAAGAGTTTAGAATTTCCTGTTTTCATGAACAGTTGCCTTCTTTGCCATGAGACCAGAAGAACTAGATGGTGCCTAGTTGTCATTACTGAACATTTTGATCAAAGATTCTATGGAAAAGTCCCAATCAAAAGGGGAAAAATATAAACAGAATTTCAAATTTTCATGGACTCCTGGACTTTTTCGAGTCATGGAGGGTGAATGAACCCTGAAACTGTTGCCCTGAGATAATCTTTAAATCTCAAACTAAATTATTCCCTGAAGTCTTCATAAAGCCAAGCAATAGTTAACCAGTAAAGAATGTCTTTATGCTCTTTTAAAATATACCTATATGGGATGAAACAGAAAACAACAACTGAAAAGATAAGATGGGAGCCTGATGGGGCAGTGGGTTTATGTTAATGAGGGAGGAACAACTCAGGAAATGAAGATTATAATCAGTGTTACTGAATTATACATGTAGAAACTGTTGAATTAGTATATGTTTTACTATGTATTTTCTAAACAGCAGTCACAAAAATAAAATTATTTTAAAAATAGAGTTTAAAATTTTCTTTTGGTGTCATAAAGTTGATTTTGAACCAGTTTTCGCTCACAAAGCAAGATAATAGCTTGATTGCAAATTAGCAGGAGCTCTGGAAGCATTGTGGCTAAAGCACTTGACTGCTAACCAGAAGGCTGGTGGTTCAAACCCACCAGCCACTCTTCGGAAGGAAGGTTGGGCTACTACTTCTGTAGTGATACTGCCTCGGAAACCCAAGGAGGGGTCGCTATGAGTCAGGGCCGACTCGACGGCACACAACAACAACAACAACAACAAATGACCAGAAACGTCAGGATTTGCTTACCTTATTTTTTTTTCTTTCAGTTTTCACAAAGTTGTGCTATAGATTCTCATAGTTTAAGAATTCCTTTTGACTTGAGAGAATAGCTAAATTTTCAAGTTTCTCTTTCAAAATTAATAGCAAATTCTTTTAGGTATTTAAATTCATGCAAACTATTTAAAATCCAAAGGGAAAATGTAAGTGTTAAGTCAGCAGTGACTTCAGCAATTATTTTACTATTATGCTTGTATTTTTTTCAGTTTCTTGGTAGAATTTCTGTTTCAATCTAGTGTAAATCAACTTTGAATAGTTCAGTTGTTATTTGTCTCACACAGTACTTACTGTTGGTTAGAGATGTGGTTTTTAAAAGGGATAGTATTGTTTTGAGGAGACATACTGCATTGGGCAAACAGGCTACAGAAGATCTCTTCAAGGTGGTAAAAGCAGAGATAACACTTTGAAAACTAAGGTGTGCCTGACCTAAGCTGTGATGTTGTCAGTCTCATATGTGTATGAAAGTTGGACAATAAATAAGACTAAAAGAATTGATGCACTTGAAGTAAGGTGTTGGAGAAGAATACTAAATATACTGTGGACTACAACCACTCATCTGTCATTTGTCATACCATAGTTGCTTGTGTGTTGCTGTGAGGCTGGAGGCTATGCCACCAGTTTTGCAAATACTAGCAGAGTCACCCATGGTAG